TTACGTGCTAATAACCTTGTGGTTTCATGGATTCTGAATTCTTTGTAAAGATATTCGTCAGTCATTGTTGTATTTTACATCTGCTCAGGAAGTTTGGGATGAGTTGCGTAATAGATATGCACTTAGCACTGGTCCTAGGGTTTTTCAAATTGAGAAATCACTTAGTACAATGAATCAGGGTGCATTATCTATCACTCAGTATTACATTGCTTTTAAGGCTCTTTGGGATGAGTATGTGACATATAGGCCAGTTGTTAGATGCACTTGTGGGGCTTTTTCTGTCTGTACTTGCAATATATTTGAGTCTATATCCCTTGCACAGCATCAAGACTCTGTCATGAAATTTCTTATTGGCTTACATGATTCATACTCCTCTATCAGAAGCCATCTCCTGTTATCTACACCATTACCCACTTTATCCAAAGTTTACTCCCTACTCCTTCAAGAAGAATCCCAAAGAACACTCCACAATACCACCACCACTGATCCTATGGCCATGCTACTGAAAACAAACACATATCCCCCTAAACACAACAAACCTACTTTCAACAAAGACAAAAAAAGAACCAAATGTTCCCACTGTGGCTACAATGGTCACACTGATGACAAATGCTTTCAAATCATTGGCTATCCATCCAACTGGATTGGACCAAAAGGCCCCAGGCTTCCTCCCCAACCTTCTGCCAACATCCTGCATACCAACACCACTGAGCATTCTACTAATTCCATGACTAATGATCTCTTTGCTGAGTTTTTAGCCTTTAAACAAAGTAAGGATACCACAGGGACTGAGACTACTCCTATGATTGCCTTTGCCATATCAACTGTTCCAAGTGCTGCAGGTATATCTTACTACTCTTATGTAACTGCTAATGTGTTGCATAAAAACTCATGGATATTAGACACAAGGGCCAGTGACCACATGATATGTGATACTAGTTCATATTAATATCAATCTTCCAAATGGACAACACACACAAGCATGCCACATAGGCAATGTCACTCTCAATGACAAGCTTCAGTTGACAAATGTGTTATTTGTTCCTAACTTTCACTTCAATCTCATCTAAGTCTCAAAACTGGTTGCATCACACAACATTGTTGCTCAATTCATGTCATCATGTTGCATATTACAGGACCTGAACACTCAGCAAATGA